TTTAAAACAAGACCCGGAATCCGGCCCATGGTGGTAACGGCAGCGCGGGCTAGTGGGGAAGGTGCTGGGTTGGGAGTCGGGGTTCTCAGCTCTGCCGCTGACCTGCTCCAGGACCTTGGGAGAGTCACTTTTCCCTCTTTGCGCCTCCCCCCGCTTTGTCTGCCTCATCTATTTACACCTTCCGCTTCGGGGCAGGGGGACGGTCTCTCAGCGCCTAGCAGAGCAAGGGCTTGATCTCGGCTGGGTCCTCTAGGCACTATCATGGCCATAAAGGGATAGGATTTTCCAAAGGAACCTCGGGGCTCTCAGCACCCAGCTCCCCTGAAATGCAAACCCTCGGCTCAGACCCACCAAGCCCGTTTCCCGTAGGGCAAGGCAAGCACATGCGGTAACCGGCTCCCTGGGCAGCAGAAAGCGCCAATGCCCCACACAGCCCCCTTTAACCCTTTCGGGTCAGGGCTAATCTGCATCAGCAGGACAGCGATGGGGAAGCTCACTTTGCCACTGCTCTGGGGGGGGGGGGGAGGACAGCCAGACAGAGGGCGTCAATCTGTGGCCAGCCCTGATTTCGCTTCGGGGCTGGGGGGGGGGAAGAGAAGCCGAGTGGGAGTCACACCTGAAAGCAGAGCGGGGAGGGATTCCTCCCACCGGGTGACTCAGCGCGTTATCCCCAGGGAAGCCGTTCCATCTCCTCCCCCGCCCGCATGCCGGAGAACCAGACAGGAAATGAACAACTTTCTGTACATCTGTACCGTTCAGCTGGCAGCCAGGAGGGAATACCGGCAGCGCTCTCGCCTCCTCCGCACTAAGCCCCGTGAGACTGCAGGGCCGGTGAGCCTCAGGTACCCTGTGCAAAGCCAGGTAACTCTCGAGACAGCAGCACCTGGGGGCGGCAGGTTATAGGGACAGACAGCGCTGGGGGCTGGGCATGGGATCTCCTTATATACCAGATTGTCAGAGACAAGCCCAGGTCGCCAACGGCTTCCTCTTCCAGAGCACCTGGTAGCCCGCTCTCTGTATTGCGGTAGTGTCAGTCATGGACCAGGACCCCCATGGCGCTCGGTGCTGTACAAACAGAACGAAGAGACAGTCCCTGCCACAAAGGGGTTCTGAACCACGAACAGACCTCTTTCCAGGCACACCTACAATAATGATCCGGAGCCTGTATTTACGCCCCTTCGCCATCTGCCATCCCAACGCACCACAGTGACGGCATGGCTCACCACCGAAGTGCGTCCACCTCTGGGGCGCAATGCGGTAGCGGTTTAGCAGCCACACAGCAACATCCTGGGGTGCGTTCGGACAGGAAGAAAGCCTCCGATTGAAACTGCAGGGCAGAGGAGGGAACGCTGGAGTCAGATGAACGGAATGAGCCGAGCTAGAATCTGGGGCTAGCATCTCTTCTCTTGCGTAGAGGAACCTTTAATTATCAGCCTAAGTTTTAACATCTCCTTAAAAAAAAAAAAAAAAAAAAAAGGAGCAAGATCCAAACACAAGCAAGCAGTAGGTCTGCATGCAACAGCTGCCCATATACCACAGTGATGGGCAGCAGTATTAAACTCTAAAATAGGTTAACTTATATAGGATGGCCCATGGGATCCCAGCAGGCTGCAAAGACATCCCGGGTGTGTCACATATGGGTTTCCCTGGACCATGGTAATCCGCTTTTCTTACCAAGCAGGCCGAGCAAGCCCTAACCTCAAACTTGCTCAGCTTCGATCCTGCAGCAGCAGGAAGGAAACACGCAGGGTTGATGCAATAGCTAGTTGCCCCCGTGGCATGCCACGAGCCTCCCATCAGAAAGAGACAGCAGAGAGCCAAACCACAAAACCCTTGGACAACCCAACTGCATACAGAGCGCACCCTCTTACTCTATAGCCAAGATGCGCGCACACAAGATCTGAACTCCTACAGACACATTAGCCTGTACCCTATACCGCAAAAATCAATGCAAGGGCAGAACCCTGCCCTCAGACCTGCCTGGGTGTAGCCCCACGCCCTGAACGGAGCAGATCAGACCATAGGGTCGGCGGCGGGACTCCAAGTCACGAGCACATCCACCGTGCCAAACCCGGTTCTCCCAGGCTGCACACGAGGGATGGGATGCTCCTGACCAACTTCCCCACCCAAAGAAAGGCACCCCCCAGCCGTCTAGGGTTTAGCATCTCTGTTCAAAGGGCTGGAGAGCAGGGAAAAGGGGAAAGCAGAGTCTAGCCACCAAGCCCAGAGACTGAAAAAGAGAGAATTCGATATTTAAACAGCCTGATTAGTGAGTCAATGGGAGACAGCACCACTGGGAACCACCCTGCATCTCCAGTGAACTATGCCTCTCTTATTTCTCATTCACCTAAATCCTTCAAGAACACCTGCAGCAACCTTAGTGGGCAATCACCCCCATTTCACAACATCAGCCAGGCAGCAGGTGGGGATTTCCCACCATGCATTGCAGTGTCCTCTGATGCAGGTATTGGCAACGTGACCCCAGGCTGAAATAACGCGCCCCACCCCCCCATACAGGCAATCCCTGAGCCGCTTTCAAAAATGGGACTTTGGCTTTGAAGTCATGTCGTTGCTTTTGAAAATTGTACCCAGCGGCTACAGAGATCTGGATGGTGGAAACACCGAGGACGCATTCCTAGGTAGGAACTAGGCGTGAGAGGTGAAGTTAAGGGAAGAACACGGGCAGGTTTCCTGATAATCAGCCTAACAGGGAGATCACCCGGCTGTGGAAAGTTCCCCCAAGGGGGGCATGATAGTTCCATCGCTCAGGGTCTTTACAACTAGCCTGGCCAAACACATATTTATCTGGCTCCCACCACCAGAGTATCCGAGCATCTCCCCATCTTTAATGTATTTATCCTCTCCTTATGGGGCAAGGCAGAGCTATTATCCCCATTGTACAGATGGCAAAACTGAGGCACAGAGCAGCTAAATGACTTGCCTAAGGTCGCACAGAGAGTCTGTGGCAGAGCAGGGAATTGCATGCAGGTCTCCCAAGTCCCAGGCTAGTATCCTAACCACTGGACCACACTTCCTTGGCAAAGAGCATGTGCTGTAGGGAACAATCCTGCCCTGGCTGGAAGCTGGATTGGGCGTGCTGAGGAATTCTGCTTTCCTGAGAGAAAGAAGCACTTTTAAACTCAATGAGGAAGAAACTTCAGCTTCTGAATGAAATCTCTGCTCCCCCTCGCCATACGCCACGAGCATCCCGCCCACTGATATTGAAAGGCATCGTGTTAACAAGACACAGCGAGGAGATAGAATTTCATTCTCACTCCCGGCCACAGCTGGGATTTGCCTGTTGGCTGGAGTCCGGGCAGGGCCTGTACGCACAGAGCCACAAGCTTTATTTATAAGCCATCCCATACACGAATTTAGCTCAGGGACTGATCCTTTGAAATGCAGCGAAACCCAGCTGGAATCCAGTGCAGGCAAAACCCACCCCCAGCCATAGGACTCCCCGCTCATCCATGGCCCTCTGGCCCGACCACACACGCAGACACTAGGCTGTCCTTGAGGATTTGGAGAACAAGCAGTTGCACGATCCTTCGACTGAACTTAGAGTCAGGTCCCCAGCTGGTGTCTGTCAAAGCAGATCCACTGGAGTCAATGGGCCAGACCCCCCCACGGGTGTGTATCAGTTTCATGCCAGTGACTCCACTAAGCCATGTCTACACTAGCAGCTCGTTACTGGTGCAGCTGTCCTGGAGTACTCTACTGGCAACGTAGTCTTCGGGTGGATGCAACCGTACGACACCTTTAGCTTTGTAGGAGGTCACCTCCCGTGAGCGAACAGTTACACTGGTAAAAGCACAGCTAGGATCACTGCGTCTACATGGGGTGCTTATGCCGGCACAGCTCTCTCCATCGGGCATCACCTCCTCACCCCCCCTGACAGACACAGCTGGGCCGGCGACAGCTGTTGTGTAGACGTAACTGACGTCGCCCAGGCTTTCTCCTGGAGAAAATCTCACCCTAGAGCAAAGATTTTCACATGCTGCATCTCGCACCTCCCCCGCGCGGCCGATCAAAATCGACTAACAGAGCAGAACCAGGGAGCTTCCCCCAGCTATTCACGTATCAGGAGCGATTCTGGCATAAAGAACTGCGCTAGGTCCCCATAACACAGAGAGCACAGGACATACTCAATTGATGGGGCAATGCAATGAACTGGAGTAGTTAACGCACCAAACCCTCCTAGAGCTAGATCAGGACCATGTGTACAACTAAAGTGCATATAAGAAGGTAATGCAGTTCAACCGAGCAGTATCCATCACAGTCTGTCTCCTAGGTGCCCTAAAATCTCTCTCCCGTCCTGCACCGTGAATCCCACTGACCACCACTGATCTCTTGTGCCAGCTGCACACTTGTCTACAGGCTACGTGGGACTTTACGGCCCCCCCATGGACAGCACACTCCTGCATCCAGATATAGGTGTGCACACACAGAAATGCCCTCTCTCATTCTAACACCGATTCTCTTGTTCTCCATCAACCCAGTTATGGCCTTTCATGGGTAGTAGCCAGGGGCGTGTCAAGCCAGCCACCTCCTGCTGCGGGAAGGAGGGTTTTACTCTCCCTCAGGAGTGGATCGTGTTTTCCCTGCTCCGGGGCGGCTCGTGATGCAGTGGGATGGGCAGGAGGTTGCAATCGAGTTGTGGGGGCTGAGATAGAGAAGCTGGATGGGAGGGTGATGGGGGGAGGGAAGGGGGCAGACAGCGGAGATAGAGGAGATCATGAGGCTTGATGTGGGGAGGCAGGAGAGGCCTGGGGAGCTGGAGGTAGGAAGGAGGAGACGGGGATGAATGAAGCAGAGACTCGGGGTGACAGGGGGCAGAGACAGAGCAGCACCTGGAAGACGTGGATGGGAACATGGGTAGGTGAGAGGAGCTGGTGGGTCAATGAGGAGGCGCACACGAGTGGCAGGTGCAGATGGGTAAGGGGGGAGCAGGGGGGGTCAGGGCTGGAGAACAAGTCGCTCGCCAACGCGCGGCTACTCACTGGGGCAGATGAGCGCCTCCTTGGCCGTGATGCTCTTGTTGCAGGCGAAGCACATGGTCATGCCCGAGACGGTGATGGTGGTGAAGAGGTGCCCGTTGGTGTAGCGGGCATCCTTCTCCTTGCCCTCTTTCATCTTCTCTTTCTCTTTGTTCTGTTGGCCGACAGAGAGAGAGAGTTAAAGCCTCAGCTCCACAGAGGGGGACCCCCGCCCGCCCGAGAACGGGACGACCACCCGAGAAGCCTCTCACCCGGGAGGCCCTCCCTACAGCGTGTGCCTTCCCGACAGTCCCTCCCTCAGCCAGTCGCTTTGCGTTCCAGCTCATGGTGCCAACCGAGGGGATCCAGGTATTAAACCCGGCCCGTGCTCCAGGAAGATCGGCCAATGCTGCGAACAGATGCGGGGAAGGGGTTTTATTGGGTCACCAGACCCCAGCTGATGTCACATCCAGCAGGACAGTCACACCAGGATGGGGTGAAAGGGGGGTGAGGGGTGGGGCTAGAAAAGCCAGCCAGATCCACGTGACTCCACGGCACGGCGATCTTAGGAGGGAGAAAGTGCATGGAGTAGAATGGGAGAAGACACCCAGTTATTGCAAATCCCCTGTACTTCCCTGTTTCCGATAACCATGACAACCATGTGTCTGCTTAAGAAATACACCCCCACCCCCACCCCGCCGTGGATGCCTCATGCCATAGAGCAGCACAGAACCGGGTGTGATGGAACAGCCCAAGGGAAGATATACACCCATTATTCCTGTAGAATGGAGGGGCCGAGTTACCCTGTGTAAAATGGGGCAGGAGGAATTGGATTTGGATGCTCAACAGAGAAAGGAACCCCCCACACAAAAACAACCAAACACTGTGCAGTGAGTCTCCTAGTGATGCTTTAAAGATTTATCTGGTGCCTTTCATATCCCACAGGGTCCCCAGGCAGGGTGCTCCTGAAATGCAGCCACCTCTGGGGTGGAAGACAGAAGCCAATCATTACTCGGGGTAAATGGACATCTCAGTGTGGGCTGTGAAAAAGCATCCGGAGCTTTCAGACTCAGCCAAGAGACCACAGACAGTCCGTTGTATGGGTCACATTTTATCTGCCCAACCAAGGGCTGAACTGATCCCACAGAGATTCAGACAGGCGGCATTTCAAACCCGACACTTATGCCGCAAAGCTAGTCAGCAAAGCCTTCCATTACTGCAGTGTTCAGGCCAGGACTGTCAAAGACGGCACGTGACAACAATGGGCAGCACAGATGGGGAGCCAGAGAGAGCCAGAGGGTCTGTCTGCGTCCCCCAGTCCCACTAAAAAAAAAAAAAAAAAAAAAAATCATCAATCCTCCTTCACACAGGCGAGTCTCATCTTACGCGCATTTAACAATGTGCGAATGCAGCTCTGTGCGGTCAGCAAAAACAAAAAAAGAAGAGAAAAACAACAATTTAAATCCTGTACCTGTAGTGTGGGCGATTCCACCCGCCATGACACTCAATGTAATTTTGACTGTACGCGATTTTCGCTTTACATGCTGACTGCGGAACGTCACCCCAGCGTAAGAGGAGACTCGCCTGTACTAATTATACCAGAGACCTGGGCCTTCTCTACCATGCATGGGACGCTACAGCCTGCAGGCAAAACGACTCATGGCCCCCGAGATGGCCAGTGGCCAAGCTGGGCATAGAATCCAGGAGTCCTGACTCCCAGCCCCCTGCTCTAGCCACTAGACCACAGTCCCTCCCCAGAGCTAGGAACAGAACCCAGGAGTCCTGACTCCCAGGACCGCTGCTGCTGCTGCGCATTCAAGCACTGGTTTAAAGTTTTCACTCGTACTCCCCGGAGTTCAGTTTCGATACAGGCGATGAATTTAGTGATTTTTCCCGAATCCGGGTGCATTTTATTTGAACTGAACCAGGCATCTCCACCCTTGCTGCAACACCCACCCCGGCCTTCAAGTGTGTGGCCTGGAGGTTTGAAGAAGACAAACCCTACAAAGATTAGAAGCTGCCATGGGGTAAGGATCTAGCCCCCACCGCTGGACTGGCAACAGGTTGTCATGGCACCCTCCTTTCAGAAAGAGGAAGTCAGCTGGTCACTTCCTCTTGCAAAGTTCTGAGTAATCCTAATCCTGGCTATTTCTGACTTTGAGTTAGCTTCGCATCACGTGTCTTGGTGAGAGAAAACAGACTGTGTCGTCCCCCCACCCCCAAAGCTGCAAATTATTTATATTACAGAAGCACCTAGACCCTCCAGTGAGAGCCGGGACCCATGGTGCTAGGTGCTGTACAGATTCACGGCAAGCGACAATCCAAAGGGTTGAGAGTTTAAAGAGACAAAACAGAAAGGGCAGGAGGGGAAACTGAGGCACAGAAAGGGGAAGTGACTTGTCCAGGGCTGCCTATCAGGTCAGTGGCAGAGCGGAGAATAGAACCCTGGTCTCCTAACTCCGAACCCAGGGCCCTAATCTCTAAACTATGCTGCCTACTATAATGCTGGTGTTTTGTCACTAATGCCGGTCTAATTTAGATTCCCAAATAGGCAGGGAACTGCTCTTGTGTGTCCATAACATGCCCCACACACCAGCAGCTCTCTGTAGAAGAGGAGTGAGATTTTGCCTTTACAGAGCACCTTTCACTCAAGGATCTCAAAGCACTGGAAGAGACACTTATCAGCAAGCTGGGCGACAGGTCAGACTCTGAGCAGAACCTGCAGGAGGACAGAATCCCAAGCAATCACTGACCTCTCCTTTTCCTAAACTCTTCAAGCATCAGCATTCACCTCTGATCCAAGCGGTGGGGTTGGCCAAAGTAACAGGGCTCAGCAAAGGATATTTTGCACCAAACAGACCTCACCCAGCAGGGCCCAAATACAGAGCCAGAATAGCTTCAAAGTGGGGACCAGCCCACCACAATTCTAAACTTCCAGTAGGATCATTGTTTGGAAAGGGTTTCCATCCCCTAATAATTCCCTGCAGCCCTGCATCCTGTCTCCAAACCTCTATCAAATCCACCATGGTGCAGGAATGCAAGAGTCTTAAAAATAGCAGGCCAGATCCTCCACTGGCGTAAACTGGAGCTACACTGATTTACACCAGCTAAGGATGTGGCTCACCCTCCTCGGCAAATAGGCAGCCAACTCAACCAGCTTGGCCAGCGGGTTAATGCAAGCTGCACCGTCTCTTAGCACCCTCTGATCTGGCAAGATAGCAAATCGGCAGAGAGAAGAGCTTAAAATTGACAATTTCGGAGGGAAATTGACAAGATCAGAGAGTAGGAGCCTTGTTGCTTTCAATCCCACAGGCAGGAACAGAAGGTTGGTGGGTGACTTGGCTCTAACCATTCAAAATCTCACCCCCTCTGTTGCTCAGGCTTCCCGAGAATCCGGGAGGGGAGGTGCCACAAAGGAATCAGCAGATGAATTTTCTACTCATTTCCGCCGCTGACAATATGGGGCATCAAGCTCCCACCCTCCAGGGCACGGGCCTTCTCCTGCAGGGGTCAGGAAGGAATTCCTGACCCAACTCCCATGCAAAATTAAGATCACGGTAAGGATGTGCTGCCTTCCTCCAAGGCATCGGGTACTGGAGTAAGACAGACCAGTGGGCTCACCGGATACCCAACATCCTAGAGCAAAGGAAGAGCGTATGCAGGGGTATGCAGAGTGGTGAAGTCTGACCCACAGGGTTTAATCGTTAAAAGTCTTCCCCATTTAAAGGAGATTATAAAGCCAGAAGTGGGGGTGGAGAGGAAGAAGAGGCATCCAACCCTGGGAGCCCACGAGCGCCGTTTTCACTGTATACAGAAACACCCTCCCCCTCCCGCACACACACACAAACACAGAAATGTGTATACAGCTGCTCTTCTGTAATACAAGCCACAGATAGAGCCACTCGGTCCCCTCCCCTGTTGCTGGATTCAGTTCTGCTTTGTGTTCCCCAAGACACTGATTTGATAAGCCCAGCAACGGAGGGGTCACGGTTGCTGGAAATTAGGCATTTTCCTGACAGCTCTCCTCCGATAAACAGATGGTGTTTCCTTCTCCTAGCCAGGTTAGTCCCTCGGGGGGGGGATGGGAAATGAAGAGCACAGCTTAGATTATCAGACAGAATGGGGGTCATAAACCCTGTACTTCTCCTGCCTTCCAACCACCATTCAGACACAGTGACTGACTGACTGCCAGACTCACCGATGGTGCGAAGAGCAGCTGAGATGACACAGAGGAATCACACCTACTTACCTGACCTTGCTCTGGTCCAACAGAGCTGACAACCTGGGTGCCGGGAGAAGAGAAGGGGCAGGTAACCCAGTACGAGTTTTTGGCTGGGGTGAAGAGGGGAAAATGGACTAGATCTTGTCCCTGCAGCAGGGCTGACTCAATCCACTTGGTTCCCCATCCACCAACCATCCATATTCAACTCCTGTCTCTTGCATATACACCCTCCAACACACACTGTGCCCCCTTCAGAGATTCCCATTGGATACAAACACCGGGGCCAAGGCAGACAGCTGTGCTAAGAGGACAGGAATGCTACTGGGCTGGGTGGAAGGTTAAAACAGCTCTGCAGGGAGGAGGAAGATCTCCCCCTCCACACGCAGGGCATGCGGTCCTGCATAGCAATGCAACATCTGGTTAAAGTCATACACCCCCAAGATGCATCAGGAAGGGGCGGGGGGGAGAGAACACCGCATGGGATTTAGCCGAGAGGTGGGGGAAGGGGCCGTGGAGACAGTTCTTAGAGTGGGGGACGGTACCGGCGGGGATCGCTTGGCTGGCTCTACACGGGAGAGCGCTTTAAGGGGAGAGTTGCCTGTTTTCACGCAGCACTCCCAGCCTTGGTCTGAGGGGGGCAATGGGAGGACAACAGGGTGCTGGGTGAACCCCCCTGCTGTTTGCTTTGTACGATTCCTCGGCTCCAAGCACAAAGCAGCAATGGCCAAGTGGGGCATCGCTGCTGGGCACCACAGGGCCGGACATCCACCACGAGTCACCCCACGCTGCGCCAAGGGATCAGCGCTGCAGAGCTAAGCCAATAGGTCGGGCTTGGTGTGCGGGCGGTGGCCTGCAAGATACAGGAGGTCAGAGTAGAGGATCTGGTCCCTTCTGACTCTAATAGGATTCAGAGCCCTTTTCTCTTCCTCCCGGGCACGCCCATACAGCAGCTG